ACTTAGCCCGCTGCGATCTCATCAGGATTATTAATTGACCAGTTTGGGAAGAAAGAAATACCTCCTCACTACACTTCGTAGAATGAGTTTACGTAAAAACGCTGCTTCGGTAACAAATGGGAACCAAGTGCGCGGCGTAAACTCATGTAATTTGTTTTCGGGTAAAGGGATTCTAGGATATGGACGGAGGGGAAAAACTTGGGGAGACAGGCGGCTTCCTACGTTTGCTAACCGACACGCAATTCGCAGCGAAGGATCTGTCCCCACCGATATAGCATGAAGCTCCCCGCGGCGCAATTAGCGCTCCATTGGCGCGGTACGCCCCTTTTTGCGTTGTCTCATGCCTGAGTCTCTATTCCTTCAGAGGGAGAGCATAGCGTTGAAGAGGGCAACACGATGAGAGTGGCATCAATGCGCAATTCAATGGGCAAGGAGGGGTCTCATTTCTCCGTTTCTGGACCATTCGATTTTTCTTTTTCTTCATACGAATTTTTCTTCCTTCGACATCACTGACCATCTTCAACTTAATTTTCAATGAGTTTCTTTTTTATCGTGTAATCCGTTTTCACCAATCAATTTTCAACCTAATTGGTAATGCGATAAATGACCAAATATGTCTTAGATACTTCGACATGAGGACCATGTGGAAATTGCGATGTATCACATTCAATCCAGCGTTCATATCAGACGAAGAGGACCGTATTTGAGCGTTTCTGTGATAGTCCCTATAAATTTACAGGTACCTCTATTTTTAGAACTGCGAGAGGTCAAACGTTTCCAATTTTAAGGGAACACTGACGTCGTCGGAGTCACTCTGTACTACCGGATGTCGGAATCGATCCATTATCGAAATTGACAAGGTCCTGGCTGCTTCGAGTAAATATGCAAGATGTTATGCTCGAAAGTTGCACGTTCCTATAAAGCTTGCAATTGGTGAGCAGTCGGGTGTGAAAGGAATTTAGCCTCTATTCAACTGTTCCATTTATTTAGAACGCTGCAAAACAGTAAACGCTACTGATCGCTATTTCGACGCATGCGTCTTCGATCTCATGCTAACAGGTAATAACAACTATAGCAGCATAGCTAATCTGTTCGACGAACAGATTCAATTCGATTTATGCACAATAAATTGGGATCGAAAAGGATTCAAAATTAAGAAAGATTAGCCATGACGTGCATAAATGCTTGTCTATGGGCATTTAATGGTGTTGCAGAAAGAGATGTTGTCTAGCATCCGCACGATCCAGCGATCAATTCTCTTGTCGAATCTTGCCCCAAGCCAACAAATCCTTTATCCCTCATTCGTCCCTTTCTTTGGTTTAGAAGCCGGTTATTGTGATGAATATAAAACATGTAATGGTATCCCTGCAGCGCTTGTAGACATGGCGGATTGGCGTTAAATTGCTACGAATTTGGATGGAAAATGAATGCGTGGTATATCTCATAATGGATTGTTTAACACTGAATGCATTAACTTTTACCCATTCATTTGGCCATGCATAGCTTGAGAGATGTTAGATCAACGTTCCATACTCTTATTTGTGTTTGTTTTATGCCGTCGAGGGGATGGTAGTGGAACATATATTAATAAGCTAAAGTTTCGAGAAATCGTTCTGAGGCCTAAACGCGTCCAAGGTTTGAAGGTTCACGATTAATCCACAGCCCTGATTTGATCGTCGACTTTCGTCGGGGAGGTCCAACGGAACATAAGCAAAAATTTTGAACTCACCCAGGGTCCCACCGTTCGTGCGGGAATCCCGCTTCTGCACTAAAGCGCCAGTCAGTAAGAAATAAGACACACCGTAACGTCTCCTGATTGGCGTAATCGCTGGGAGACGCACGTACGCTTCATTCTACAGCTCGCAGTGCGGTATAAACGGCGAGAGATCACTTGTTATTGAAGGGCGTTCATCCCGGCCGTTCATCGCTGGATTTCTAGCGGAAATCCAGAATGCTTCCAATGCCTTCTAGCAACAATTTCCGCTATGCGCGACAGCCGTAACCTTATTGAAATCACGCCATGTGCTTTTAAACATTATGCCTCAAGAGCATGGACGCAGTACTCGGCAAATGTTTGTTGATGCGATGGCTAAAAGCCTTCTGTTTCTCCAATAGGGAGGTTGAGTTACCAAGCCGCCTTCGATTGGTAAAATCCCTATACGAAGTTAATACTCATTAGTCTTCTTCTTCTTCTTCTCCCTAGCGTTAGTCCCGCGCCGTCGCAGGGTCCGCTGTTCTTATCAGTCGTCGCCACTTCGCTCTGTCCAGGGCATCCCCTGCAGTGGCCATGATTTCGCTTAGGTCCTTCTTGACTACGTCCTTCCACCTCTTCTTTGGGGCTCCTCGCGGTCGCTTGCCTTGCGCTTCGAAGTCCATCGCATTCCTTATCGGGTGGCCTTGCGGTCTTCTCAGCACATGTCCATACCACCGCAGTCGTTGCTCCCTCACCTTCAGCTGGACAGGGGCAGTCTGCATGACTGTTCTGACATCGTCGTTCCTGACCCTGTCCAGTCGCGTCCAGCCGCAGGCCCATCTCTCATCCTCATTTCGGCAGAGTGAAGCTGCCTTTCGTGATTCTTGTTCAGGGGCCAGCACTCGCTGCCGTAGAGCATCGCAGGCCTTACCACTGTTCGGTACACCTTCCCTTTGAGCGTTCTAGAGCACCTTCGGTCGCAGAGGATTTCAGTGGATTCCCTCCATTTCATCCACGCCGCGTTGATCCTCCCCTTTACTGCCTGGTCCACACTGCCGTCCGGCGCAGATCTATCCAGGTATCGGAAGTCCTCCACTCTTTCGATGCTTTCGCCATGTCCATCCACGATCGGCTCTGCACTCTCCTCAGAACTCAGGAACTTGGTCTTCTTGACATTTAGCCGGAGCCCCCTTCTGCCAGGACCTTCTGCCACTTCTGCACCTTGGCCTGTAGTTCTTCTCTGCTATCAGCTATCAGGGCGATGTCGTCAGCGTAGAGGATGGTCTTTAGTGGTCCTTCTATGAGCCCCTTCACCATGACATCTAGTGTTAGGAGGAAGAGGAACGGACTCAGAGCTGACCCTTGATGCACCCCAACCGTGATGTTTTCCTTTTGTTAGGCCATGTGGGGTGCGTATGGCTGCCTTAGCCCCGTCGTACATGTCCTTCACCAGCGAGACCAGGTGTTCTGGCACGTTCCGTTCTCTAAGCGCTCTCCATAGTACCGCTCGTGGTAGCCGGTCGAACGCCTTCTCCAGGTCGAGGAAGGCTAGGTAGCAGGGTCGGCGCTTTTCTCGATACTTCTCCATAACTTCGTTTGG